CCCATCCCCCCCCCGGCCCCACCCCTCCCGACTGTACTCACCGAGAAACCTCGCTCAGAAAGAGAAATGACTCGTGGCAAAGCGCCTTCTTGGAATAGTCCTCGAACGCGACGGCCAGCAGGGGTGTCCTCACAATCCGCTCGAAGTCCCAAATGTCGATGTCCTGTTTATGCGAGCGACTTCGACGACCGCCATCGCGGCCGCGGTCGAGGCCTATCTCCGATTGCCCCCTCCGAACACCATCAAGTCTGTTTCCTCCGGCGCCGTTGTCGTTGGATACGAACCATGTTGCAGTCGTCACGACGGAGGAATTTGTTGGTTCCCGGTCGGTCCACGTGTGGGGAGCAACAGCACCGTTGGCGTCGGCGCTGGATGTGGTCACAGCCTTGCCGATGGTGGCCGAGGCGGCGACATAGCCAGCGCTACCGCCTTCCCGTTCTGTTGTTGTTATGCCCGTGGCGAGGGCCTCTCCAAGCTTCCCTTCCTCGAGCGTGGTTTCATCTTCCCTTTCGCTACACATCATTGACGATTCACAGTCCAAACCTGATGAAAACCCCGACGCTCTTCTCGCCGTGCTGCTGGCGAATTCATGAGGGGGGAAGGGGGTGCGCTCATGCGCTGAGTGTCTGTGAATGGTTTGGTACTGCCCACGCTTTTCTTTGGAGGCGGAGAAGTACAACTGCACCTACTCAAACGACTGAGAGGCGCAGATACCTTCGGAAACGCGCTACTAGCCTGTGCTGCCGAAGAACATTGATGATGACCCTACCTCTTGCGTATCCGTAAAAAGATCGTAGCCTCCATCTGTACATCTCCCAACGACGGCGTGGACAGCCTACCACACCTATGTACGTCACCTCTCTATGTCCCCTACCACCAATTCCGAATGTAGACCCCACGTGTCCTCGTAGAGTAACTTTTCTCGATCTAGGGTGTGACTCTCCCTTGCCTTGACAGACGCAACAACTGCAACCTACCTACGTAATGGTACGCGGGTGGGGGCTCGTAAATCTTCAGCTTTGAGAACAAAAGCGGCGAACGATCAAGGGGATTACACGCCAGAAAGCGAACGGAAAATCTGTGATATCCCAAAACACCAAAACGTAACAGCCACAACGGAGAACCACCGACAAAGCGCCGGCCGGCTGTACCCACAGACCTACGTAGCGCCTTGAGACCCACGACTACGACGCCGCCGCAAACCTCAGTGGTGCAGGGTGCTGTGCGTCCGTGCCTACCTGCTCTTTTGCTACCATTGTTTTAATCTCCTGCCCTTCTTGCGCGGTCGCTTACCTGTGGGGTTCCGTGCGGTTAGGCAGTACCCGATTGGCGTAGTTGTGTCTGGTTGCTGCCAAAGGATCCGACGCTAGGCGTCGCAGCGGGGCAATGATGCTGCGCATGTGGTAAGTTGGGGACAACGTGTGATGAAGTCACTGTTGGTAAGTGTTGCGAAATTCGCCGTGCACTATGCATACGCCATACGGACACCCAGACGTTCAAGAGCAAGAGGTCACGACACCACGTCGTTCGCGTTAGCGCGTGCCGAGCAGTCATGCTCGCCCGTACGCTAGCGGTTCCAAAATGATTTCCTCAAAACATGTTTCCGATCCGAAGCCCGTTCGTCACTATGCAAGAAAAGAACCCTAGGTTTGGACGAATCAAGCGAACCACATCCCAATATCAAAACCAACTCCGGCAAACGGCTGCATAAAGCCTACCGAATCCTCCGTTCAAACGCTCAACACGTCATACATCTGATCGACTGAAGACACACCTCCCCCATACGCACACGCACAACGAGCAGATACAAAAAAGCGCACACCTGACGCCGAAGAGAATAATCATGAACACGACCGACATGTTGTTTGCGAACCACCTCCGCTCGTAGGGCCCCCACCACTGGCCGTCCACCTCCTGCATGACTGGTGTGGTCACAATTGAAAGGAGAAGGTGACGATGATGAGGGACAAGCATACACGCATCACCACAATCTCGGCAGTTGCGAAACCGGACAAAAATCGAGCGTAGGGTACCCCGTCATCAAGGGTCGACGCACCTGCGATGAAGAGAGCAATATTCGCGTCGGAGCATTTCGACCGATCTCTGACAATCGCGCCGCGCTGTAAGGCTAGGTCTCGACGACAAGGATGGCAAGGTGACGGGACCGGTGCTACTAGCGAACCAAACGCGCACACTTGCACTTCGGGTTAGGAATAGCAAAAATACACGGTGGGTGCTATTGTGTGGACGAGGCTGTCCACATTGGCTTCCGCGGACCTCACTTGTGATGAGCACGATGGTCGCAGTGACGATGATGAGCTCCGTGCTGATGCTGAAGAGATCGTCAACGTTCCTGATGAACGGGTAAATGCAAGCCAGCGCCACCGCCAGCACACGGGCCTCAATCTTCAGGATATTGGTCTGCTTCGAAATTGCGTCCCTGGGCAAGGAACGGGGGCAAACGCGCCGGGGAAGACAAACGGCAAAAGCCATTCAATGCACGAGCGATGGGATATACCTCATGTGCCGAACACCCACTAAGGCACCATGAGAAGAGAGTAGGCGTAATGTAGCACCATCATTGTAGAGGAGATTCGTGGTGCCCATCTAGTAACCAGGCGGCGAAGGGCGTCGTCGTCACATCAAGGAGCCTCTGGAGGTGCGCACGAACATGGAGTGAGTTCTCTCTCTCTACGTGTGCAACGTCATGTGGAGCAGCATGGCCGGGGTTGTTTTCTCGTTTCGTAATGTGCTCCATCTCACCAAACCCCCAAGGTGTACTCGTGATAGATGGGGATTGCCAACATTCCCACGCTGGCGACCAGCAACACGACCATGTAGTTGTGCTCCTGTCGTTGGCGAGTACATGGATGAAGCACAGCACAGATATCGGGCGGGGGGGTGCTCATGTAAAGGCATGTCGTAGTCGTTACACTACTGACCTCGCACCCATAAAATGCCGGGGCGGAGCGAAATGCTGGGTTCTCGCCGGCCCAGGCTACGTTTTACAACGATGAACTAGAAGCTGGTCATGATCCTTGCGTTTGCTGTACCAAGCCAGATATGCCGTGGGTTGATGGGGCATCCCGGCTAGCCAACCGTTTGACGTTCGGCAGGCATAGCCATTCTTCAAATACGGCAGACTTTGATCTCGCGCGCTCGTACAACGCAGGCGCGTAAGGCACAGCGAACACGTCGATCCGTGTGTGGCACACTTGGAGTGCAGTCTTCTTACATACTTCAGGTGGAAAAGTCCCAGATGGAATATTTCAGAAGCAATACAATTGTATTGCTTAGGGCATTCCAACTGTACAGTGTTCAGCGAACATCCTATACGGTAAGGGCCTCGGTATGATCAAAGCCCACATGCTCACAGGATACACCGCATGCGCAACCCCGATGCCCCATAACTGCAATTTTACAGGGAGTGCGTAGCGAAGCTTACGAATCACGTGCCGATCTGAGGACGTCGTGAGACAGAGAGAGTAATATCACGGTTGAGGGCATCTGTCACCGACGCTAACCGAGTGAATAGACCTTGACGAATGCAGACTATCTTCACAGCTTTCTCATTGAAAGGGAAGCATTAGAGATGAGATGCCAAAAAAACGCTTTTGAAGAACACGCAACACGTTCTCGTACGAAAAACACACTGAGAGATTCAAAAGCCACCCCACAAAGAAACCACAAACGACTTGAAGACTCGTACCGGGATGAGCCACGGCAGGGCACGCTTCACCCTCGGGTGAAAGACCACGGCCAGGCGGAGCGCCCGGCAGATGTAGCTCCCGAACAGCGCGGGCGAGATGAAGAAGAGCAGCAGAGATATCCAGAACCAGTCGAACCCGATGTCCCAGACGACCGTGGTGGAATCGTTCACGGTGACGAGCATCGTCAGGATACCGGCCACGCCCCCGACCATGACAAGATACGCAGACCTGGTTGTGGTACGTATGCGATGCAGTGGGGGATCCCGTATTTTGGGGGTTCCGCGCAGATCCGCCCAAGCCCCTCGGGGGTTCTAAAACCCTGAATATCTCGGTCTAGCAGTCGATGTCCCCGAAAAAGCGTCTGGGTTGCCGAACAAGAGTAGCCCCCAAAGGCTCATCTTGGTAGGGCCACGGGTGTTGTCTCATTTGCAGCCTTACGCTGTGCGTTTGTGTGACACAGTTTCGTAAACCCTCCACATGACTGGGTTGATTTGACTCTTTTTTCATAACACGAGCAAGCACCGAGGCAGTGATATCGCTTACTCGCATCGGCTCTGGCGTGCTTGTCTCTGCTCTCTCTCGCGCACGCGGGACCGGATTGATCATATGTGCCTATGTACCCACCGTGGTACTTTCCGTTTGGATCCTACAACGTAGTCCAATAGGGAGTTCATAGGTTCTCGAAAGGGCATCTGCCCCACGTCAGAGAGATAAGACAGGTTACGTGTGTGTCACGTGGCTGATACGCGTGCTTTTGGGTGGGCTGCCTCTTTGTGTCTCTCTGCTGGTCTCTAGGTACGTGCGTTGTTGTGGCGAGGCACCCAGGCGATCTTTCGGCGGGCAAAGTTATCGGAACTGAACACGGAAATATTGTGACCCAAAATATGAATGGTTCCCGACCGGACACACATTGCGGGGGGTTTCGGTATAAAAAAGCGGTTCCCTGCGAAGACGAAATTTCGGGTCCTATTATCCAGTGGGATAATAATACATCGTGGTGCCGCTGCACCGTTCCGTACAATGTAGCGGTTACAGGACCGCAATATCTTGCCCCCAAATGCGGTTGTTGCAGCTGTTTTCGGCGAGCAATACGGCTTATCGGTTCAAATGTTACGGAGACTCCACTTGTGCGTATGGGCACGCCGGGCATGCGCAAAGCTCTTGTGCATCTTCAGAGCTGACTTCTAGAACGGAAGCTTGTGTTTGATATTCATCTTAGTGCGGTGCGTTTTTTTTATCTTTGCCCCGGTTCAGGGGCCTTGATTCGACTCGCTCGCACTGATGTTGTTTCCTTGATCAGAGCCGGCCAGCGCGGTCGATTATGTGACTCCAGGCCCGATGAAGTTTTGTTTTTCATGTTGTGTAATCCTGTAATCCTGTGCAAATATTACCATTATTTGGAACAATCTACATTCACATCGCTGTGGAGGTCAGGATATGGAGATTCAGGAAGCACAGATACACGTTCATAAAGAGTAGGATCTGAGGGAATATGTGATAATAGATTACTGTTCTCCGAGGGTCCCCAACTCTTATGATCCCCAACGGCTGCGAAGAGTTGATGGATCGGTAGGAGAATGGGAAAATGAGTCCACGAAGGCTCGCCCACTCTCGGCACCACCCCAGCTTGACTGAGTTCGCTCGGTCACGCTTGGCATTCCTCGCCACGTTGTACCAAAGGAAATAGCCAACCTCCGGTGGCAGGGCATAACCACCACTACCCCGGACTCTCCGCTCACCCAGAGTAGGGAGCTTCCATATCGCATTTATTCTATTCCAGCTTCTGGTCCCGACCGGGGGCAACAAGTTGGTTTGACTTGTCAGATGGTCTAATTATTCTAATATTTGGGGCAAAGAGTTACTTTGCTCTCACCGAGAGACCACAATGCACTCCGCGTGCGATTGTCGAAACAGGGCCTCATGGCGGTGAGAGCGATGGGGCAACGGCTGGTGATGGCATTCTACACGGCAAGTCGGGGCATGTAGATGGAGAAGTGTTTCTCTCGCATGCATGAGCATGCTCCTTTTCTGTTCGAAGCACGAAAGCACTAGTCTAAATTTCTAAAACGGTACTCTCAAGGAGTGAGACTACACCGCCGTCCGGATTAAGGGCGCCCATTCTCGTGTCCGTACAAACCAGGCCTACATACCTCGTGCGAATATCCAATATCCACTTCGACCGGTAGAAGCGAACCAATGCGCAGGTTCCGAGCACGATGAAGCAGCACCCGACTCCCAGTCTGACGAGCGCCAAGGCTGCACGCATGAATGGGCGTGCAAATTCCGGCGCATTTTATTCTCATGGGTTTGTCGTGAAGAAAGTTATTTATTTGTCATTTTGGTATCCATGATGCATAGTCTATGGGCACCGTTCTTCTTTCTCACTCATGTTTTTCAGAGGGTTGTTCATAGACTACTAGACTGTATATCAGCTCCTGTGTAGTGTAGGTGCGAACGAGGCAGCGAGAGGCAACTCGTGATGAGACAGCAGCGTTGGTTACAGCGCGTGTGCGGTGACTGATAGAAACAGTCGTGGTCGACAATTTGTTTAAGCACGTGTATCACTCTCTTAGTGGTCTCTACTGCTCTCTACCGCTCTGTCCGTCTCGCTGACTCTTGTTTTGAAAGCAAACTCTTGGTCACTCGGACCTGACGTCTGGATAAAAATCCGTTTTTTTGCTTGCTTCCAGGATTGTATGCCCGAGGGTTGCTGCAACGCTTCGACAAGCAGTCTAGAGCCTGTAGACAAAGACTCTCGAGAGGGATTGAAGTCGGAAGCGAGGACAGAGAAGTGACATGGGCAAGGGACGCTGAGGTCTGGGCATGCTCGGGGAAAATAGTCAGTCGCGCTTGCTTGCTGTGCATGTACTTGTATACCAAACGGATTTCTGCGGATTAGACTACCCCTGCCACAACCGTGTTGTAGAAACTTGACACTCAGTCTCTCAGTTTAGGACACAACAGCAGCGGACATACGAAGCAAAAAAAACAACGCAATTACCCGTGTATCAAGTGCTTTACGATATCATCGCTGAGGACAGAAGATAATGACGCTATTGTGTACCTCCCTTCCTGTGCCCTCTCTCTGACTCACCCTTGTCCGTGCGTGTGTAGCTCGGCGCCAAGCTTGACAGATTGAGATCGATATCCCCATCATCATAATGTTGCTCCCAAGAACTTGACGTTCCAGCACCACCCGTATCATCAAAGGAACTACCCGCAGCACTTCTGCTTGACCTCTCCATACCAATCGAAGACGGTGGGTCACCAGCGAAGGTTGGTGTGATATGCCGTCTCCTGCATCTGCCTCTGCCTTGATCGCCTCAGGCCTGAGCAAGCTGCGATCCGACGTGCACCAGTGGCTGTCCACGGTGCGGGCGGAACACCAGCAAGTAACCACGCACGAAGCACAAATAAAAAAAAATCCCTTTCGACTGAGGTTATGTTATACTCTCTGGAACCGGTAGTCTTTCTGTGATGAGGTCATGTATACTTTCTAAAACAGATGTCCCATATGCTGTCTGGGAAATCGTAGACAGACAGGTAGTTTTCTCTGACGCTATGATTCCATTGTTAATCTGTCTCTGACTCTTTTCTATGACAGAGATGGACTCGTTGTGTCATATCAAGAAAAATAAAAAACGGATGCACCTAATCCCGCCGATTCGTGCGTCGCGGACAGTCCCGCCATTTATCTGTAGGATGTTGGTCAGCCGGATACACATTGGTCACAAGCAGTGTTTATTTGTGCACGGTGACCGCTTCACCATGTAATGGCGATCTTGGCCTACTACAAGCACCTACCCACGCCACTGCCAACCTAGCATATATCTAAGCAATACAAAAACAAGCCGTACCGTTATTTTGCTGTAGAACCTGGTGGACTAGATCTAGCTATCGATGCACATGTAGACATTTTCTGGTACATGACGGAGAGGATGGCGCATCCAAAAGACATGGTTTCGAAAATCCTCGACGAGACAGCAGTTCCAACGTTCTACGCAGTCATTTTCGGCACCGACTTTGTTTAACTGCAGAGTAGTCGAGGATTGACATTATGTCCAGGGCATGCATGTGGTATCTCACGCAACCCAATGGTATCCTGGCAACATATCAACCCGTAATGTGATGCAACTCTTTTTACTACTAGTCTACTGTACATGCAAGAAGGGCACCTACCGGCAGCTTTCCTACGCCCAGACCCTAAAGAGGGTAGGGTGCCAGAGCGTGGAAACCACTATCCGGCAACGGCGCCTGCTGTTCGCGGGAGCGCTGGAAAGGCAGCCAGACGGACGACTCCCGAAACGGGTGATGCTTGGCGAACTGGTGGGGGGGGAGGGCCCAGGCAGGGGGAAACCGAAGCAAAACTGGCAGATGTGCCTGAAGGACGACCTAAAGATGTTCGAAGCAGAGCAAGGATCTACGGACGCCGAGCCATGCTTCTTCGGAGCCCCGGAAACAACTTGGAAGGAAGCAGCGAAGGTGGACCGGGGGGTACCGTGCATACAGGGGTACAGGTAGCGCCGGCACTTAAGAAGTCAGCAGTTGAGAAATTGAGACTCGAAAAAAATCAGAAGCTTAGAACTTGAGCACCACTTGTGAGCTCAGTTAAGAACCCCACACTAATACCTATATAGCGGCCATTTGCAAGAGGATGATCAGCAAAATAAGAACCCCAGCCTCGGCCGAAACTATAGGTTCTTAAGTGCGGGCGCCATCTGTACTGCAGGGAGCGAGCTAAGAGGTTCATGGCCTCCTGGCACAAGAAGGAAGAGGAGGCTAGCCTACAACAAGCACTCAAAACGAAGCAAGAAGCCCGACAACAACGTGGACACGGCAACAACCACGGGGGTAGGAGGGGTACAGCAAACGGACGACATGGCGAGGAAAGGCAGGAACCGCGAAGAGGCGGACCGAGTGGCGCGAAACACCGTGCCGAAGTGAACCACGTACTTGACTTATCCCCCCCCCGCGTCCGACACTCCTCCCCTCCGGTGTTGCCACCGGGGTTGGGTTTTCGTCTCTGGGCAACGACGTTGTAAAACAAGCCCCCCCTCGGTGTTTGCCATCGGGGTTGGGTTTTCGTCGCTTGGCAACGACGTTGTAAAGCAAGCCAATTCACTTCGTGAACTCGACAACCAGGTTGTTACCGTTACTTTTTTTTTTTCTCTCGTTTTTTGTTTTCTGGCGGTAACCATGATGGTGGTCGAGTAGATCATGTTGTGCGGGGTGGAGAACCCTCGCTCCGCGCAAGGGGGATGATCGCGCCACGTTGTGTTGACATGGTCAAGCACCCTCGAGGCAGTTTACACAGTGCTGACAACTGTCTCTGGAGTGAAAGTACCAGAAAATGAATTTAGTCATTCGCAGCTGTCATCATACAAGGAAGTAAGGACAAGATGCCGAAAACCCTGAGCAGGATGCAGCGCACCCTTCATGCGACTCGCCGAATATCTCACGGCGCTTCGCGCTTGGTGACGTGAGAGCCTGGTCCGGTGAGAACCCGGCGTGCTCCGTCCCGGCTTTGTAGGGATGCGAGGTCAATGGTCTAACGACTACGGCATGCACGACTATGAGTACAAACCCCCCCCGTTCGACACTACACCATTCATTGCACCAACCCCCCGCGAGCAATGACGTGCATGGGCTGGATGGAGTGACCCACTATGTCTTGAGTGCTGGTTTTGTGTTGTTCTGTTTGGTTGTTTGTTGTCTGCCGCTACGGCGTGTGTCTTTCTCCTTCTCTTTCCCTTCTATCCACCTGCTCTCTTCCTTTTCTTCGTTTCCTTTTTCTTTTTCTTCTTCTTTTTCTTTTTTCTTTGATTTTTCGTTTTCCAATCTAGGGGTACCTCGTATAGCGTGTAGAGGCGAGCTGAGCGGCCTAGGCTATCTGTCGTTGACTTCTATTGGCCTGAGGACCCTTCGGGTACATTTTATTTTCGTAGACCTTTTTTTGGTAAGTTAGCCTGTGACCACGGGAATCGACCCCGGCAAGTGTTAGACTAGTACGGACAGAAGAAGGTAATGGACAGAGAGAACGTGACGGTTGTTGATGTGAAGACAGCAACAACAACAACAACAACAACAACAACAACAACAACAACAACAACAACAACAACAACATGCAATAAATCATCTCGAAGTGGCCGACCACAGATGCAGCGGTTTTTGTTGCTGCTTTCCTTTTTTCTCTCCTTGGTTATGCTCTCCCATCGCCTTGCACGTACACTTAGCTGCCGGAATAACGCAGAACAACCCCAAACGCACACAGAAGGACGCACGATGACTCGGCATGAAGCCTGAATCTTGCATGGCGTCATTGCGCAACATCTGGTAACTAACGCCGATGTACCTGTTGGGATTTGTATGCAAGAACTGACTCTATTCTACTGCATGGGTTTTGTGCAGTATTGTGAAGGCGTGTCTCCAAGTCTGTAACCGTCAGGTGAAGACAGCTTGGGCGCCTGTGTTTTGGATCTAATGATCACTCTGTGTTGTATCTACCCAAACTGCGCCACCACTGCCAACTACACAACAAACAGCAACTACAATTCTGTTGTCAGGTCATGAGCCTAGCGTTTGGTAGGTAATTCACATCGAGTCACACCCCAGCAGCAGCATGGCGTCCGCCACGAACTACCTGAAACAAGGATACGTCCCGTTTAGCGGGAAGCCGGAAGATTTCCACGGCTGGAGTGGCCTGTTCTACTCCATCATGGATGAGCAAGGATTAGGCGACATCATGGCTGGGACGGAGACCGCCCCGGCATCGGCGGCCAGCAGCGCGGATTCGGATCGTGCTGCGTTCGACAGGACGACGCTGGAATTCAAACGTAAGAACGGCAAACTGTACACACGGTTAAACTTTGCTACGTCCGACTGCGCCGATGGATTCTCGAGCACTGCTTCCCAAGTCGTTCGAGCCTTCGGCCCCGCTCGCGTTGGTGAGCATGGGGACGGACGTGCGGCATACGTTGCCCTAGAAGCGAAGTACCGCCAGAAGGGCACCTATCGGATGCATGAACTGCAGCGAGAGTTAGGATCACTTGCGGTCACTGCCGAGGACGATTACGACCCGGCGCGTGCAATCCAAGACTTGCGTCGTATCAGTTCCGAACTCGAGTCACTTGGAGACAAGGTCGTACCAGCCCGCCAGACGCATATCTTGTTGAACGCGCTTCCTGACCAGCACTACGCCCAACTTAAGGCCGCGCTGGTGTGCGGACAAGCCGATGGCTCGGAGTTGGATCTTGACTTCGAAAATGTCGCGCACCGAGCGACCGCGTACCATACACTGCAGATCAGGGGGAAGGTTTCTGCCCACGGCCGTGCCCACAACACGGTCGTGCACGGGGGTGCACGTAGTTTCCGTAAGCAAGGCGGACGTGGCGGACGCGGCGGACGCAACCGCCAAGGCAATGGCAGCCAACCGACCGGAGACAACGGCAGCAGCGGCTCCTCCGCCGGAAATTCCAGAGGCGATAGCCCTGGAGGCGCGCAAGATGTGCGCGGGCGAGGCCGCGGCAACAAGTCCAATAAAGGCGGAAACAAAAGTCACCAAAAGGGCCGAGACCGTCAGGGACGCTGCAAGTACTGCCACAACTCTACAGAGCACGGATGGGACGGCTGCCCCCTTCGCCTGGAGAACGTGCGAGAGGATAACGCCCAACAGGCGAATGCCGCCGCGCCGGAACCGTCCACGCAGGCATGGTTCACCCGAGTCGAGGAATCCAGCGGTGAGCCGGAGGACTTTTCCATCTCGTTTGGAGAACCGCAGGCACTGGAGATGCCTGCCGCGGCGCTGCCGGAGAAGCGCGCCGCCGTGGGCGTGCAGGAAGGTCTTGTCATCTACGATCCGCAGGCACTGGAAATGCCTGCCGCGGCGCTGCCGGAGGAGCGCGCTGCTGCTGAGGAGGAGGTGCCGGAGGCGCCTGTTGCGGCGCTGCCAGAGGAGTGCGCTGCTGATGATGCGCAGGTGCTGGATGCGCCTGCTGTGGCGCTGCCCGATGAGCGCGCTGCTGCTGAGAAGCAGGTGGCGGAGGCGCCTGCCGCGGCGCTGCCAGAGGAGCGCGCTGCCGACGATGAGCAAGTGCTGGATACCCCTGCTGTGCCGCTGCCCGAGGAGCGTGCTGCTGATGCTGCTAGTGACGTTCAGGTGCAGAACCCGCTTGCTGATGCAACAGATATAGTTGCCTACACCAGTGTGTACCAGGTTAAGGACGAGTCCGCCAGGAGCACCATTATGTTCGTAGACACAGCAGCGTCTAGCCACATGGTTAGCGCGGATTCCTACGCATCTCGCCACGTGACCGAGAAGTCGGACTGCAACGTGAGGATCAAAGGTTCGTGTGGAACGTCGAGCGCGGCTCAGAAAGGTATCCTGCGTTTCGGCATCTCAAACGACCGGAACCAACTCGTCCCGGTGGAGCTACAAGTACTACTGGTTGACAACCTAGGAGCGAACATCCTCTCGGTCGGAGCCCTGAAGGAAAGGGGGGTGATGTGCGATCTTCTGTCTACTCCTCCAGCACTCCGTAGCAGCGATCAGGCCTTCCCCATCTCCACGGAGATTTCGCGGATGTACAGCGTGAACATTGTCCTCGACGACATGAGGATGGACGGGACCGCGATGCTGCTCAAGACGAAGGTGAATGCACACATGTGGCACCGGAGGATGGGCCACTGTAATCCGCGCGCCCTCCAGCAGCTGGCGAGGAAGGAGCATTCTGGGGTTAAATTTGACCAAAACATCGAGTCTGGCGACTGCGAGGTATGTGCTGTCGGCAACAGCAAGAAGTCTAGTCACCCACCGGCTAACCGACCTCGCGCCGGCACTCGTCTTGCGCTCTTGCACGTAGACACCTGGTCGCACTCCGTAAAATCTCTCGGTGGACACAAGGGTGCGGTGATGTTCACGTGTGACAATACCCGCATGAGGTTTGGTTTTCCCATCAAGAGCAAAGATGCAGCTGCTGAGGCGCTGGAAACTGTTGTCAAGGAGGAAGCCGACCCGGAAGGACTGTGTATCACCACGCTACACTGCGACGGAGGGGGCGAGTTCAAGGGAAGGTTCGCGGCGCTGGCAGCATCACTTGGAATCAAAATCGAGACCAACGCCCCGTACATGCCTCAAGGCAACGCCGTCGCCGAGCGTGGCTTTGGCACGGTCGCAGCCATAACGCGGCGCCTTCTTCTTGGGGCACCTCATCTACCGGAGAGTCTGTGGGCCGAAGCGTTCCAATACGCGATCTATATACTGAATCGCACGCCTACGGACGTCTTGGGCGGCAAGGCACCACTTGAGGTATGGGAGAACAAACCGCTTGGCAGCTTGCACCACATCCGCGAATTCGGTTCGGTATGCTTTAAGCACGTGGAAGCGGGGGACAGGCCCAACAAACTGGCTGCCAGGGCTGAGAAGATGTTTCTGGTCGGTGTCAACCCTAAAAGCCGGTCGTGGAGGCTATGGTCCCCTCGTGACAAGTTTAAGATCACCAACTCCGCCGAAGTTTCTATTCGCGAGAAAGCCCCGCGCGACGTGGTTCCCCCCAAGGCAGGGCATGATCCGCTGCCAGAGACTCCAATGATTTACCATCCCGGTCCGGAAGAGTCTGATGACGACGTCGACAGTGTGGTGGAGCCACAAGACGAGCAGAAGGATAACGAGCCGGAGCCCACGCCTCAGGCGCAAGAGCCGGGCCCCCGTCGCAGCACCAGGAACCCCAAGCCGACTGAACGTCTGAACCTGTTTACCTTTGCCACGGAGGAGGAGGCCTTCGAGCAAGTGGAACGCTCCCTGCTCACCGGAAGCTCGCTTGGCAACAACGGGACTGGCAACCCTGGCGAAGTGGGCTACAGGGCTCCCGACCCTTCGAGCTACGACGAAGCGATCCGTGGGCAGGATGCTCTAGACTGGCAAGAGTCCATGCGGAACGAAAACCAGTCGCTTGTCGACCTTGATGTGTACGACTGGGTCGAGCCGCCGACGAGTGCCCAGGACCAGCCGATCCCGTCAAGGTACCTTTATAAGCGGAAGTACAAGAATGGCGAGCTTGCTCGACTGAAGAGCCGCGTTGTGGTCCAAGGCTTTCACCAAGCAGACACGGGCGAGGATAAAGCGGCGCCTGTGGCGTCCATGGAATCCGTCCACCTGCTGATTGCTATCGCAGCCAAGAATGGTTTTGGCCTGAAGCAAGCCGATATCAAGACGGCATTCCTCCACGCGCGGGTTCCTGCAAATGCGAAACCGATCTACGTCATCCCTCCGAAAGGGTTCGAGTGCTCTCCGGAACAACAGGGAAAAGTGTGGCGACTCAAGGCGTGGCTCTACGGGCTGCGCCTCTCTCCGAAGGGCTGGAACGGCACCTTCCACGACTTCCTGCTGGAGATCGGGTTCGTTCAGAGTACGGCGGACCCCTGTCTCTACATCCTTAACGCGGGAGGGGTCCTCCTTCTCGTGTACGTCGACGACATTCTTTTGTCGGGAAGCGACGAAGCGCAGGTGATGCGGGTCGTCGAGCAGCTGAAGGAGCGGTTCGACACAGTGTTCCTGGGAGATGCACAGTTCCTGCTCGGTATGGCACTTGAGAGGAACGTCGACGCCGGAACGATCTTCCTGTCGCAGGAGATGTACGCGAAGGCCGTACTTGACAAGTTCGGAATGGCCGACGCGCACTCTACGAAGACGCCTGCGGAGGCTGGGCCTATCAGCACCGTGGAGGAGAAGGTTTTGTCTCCAGAGGACACGGTGTACTTCCGGTCCGCCACGGGCAGTCTCCTGTATCTCAGCAGGGGTTCGAGGCCGGATATTACCCACTCGGTGATGGTGCTTACGAAGAGCATGGCGAAACCGGGTCCCAAGGCGATGGCAAAGCTGAAGCGGGTTCTCAGGTATCTAAAAGGGACAACCACTATCGGGATCACATACACCGAAGACGCCGACGGCGGAGACAAGCTAACGGCGTACGCGGATTCTGACTTTGCCGGTGACCAAGACAAGGGCTACTCCACAACCGGTGTCGTTCTCTATCTCGCAGGTGGCCCAGTGATCTGGATAGCCAAGAATCAAACGGTGCTGGCCATCTCCACGTTCGAGGCAGAAGTCGTCGCGCTGTCCAAGGCGTGCCTCATGGTTATACATTTTCGAAATTTGCTAGAGTCGTTGAAGATGAAGCAGAAGCAAGCAACAGTATTGTACGAGGACAACGCGGGTGCCGTAGCGTTCGCAAAGGGTAGCAAAATCACGCCCCGCACGAAGCACATCGACGTGAAGTTCCACCACGTCCGGCACCTAGAGGACCAAAACGTGGTAGATGTAACTTACATCGACACCAACAGGCAGAGGGCAGACATATTGACCAAAAGTTCGGGAGCTGTGAAGTTCCTGCAGAACCGCCTTATTTTGCTTGGAGTGTGAGTACCTCCCCTTACCGAAATCAGACCATATGTCTTAAAAGGGTTGGACGGTACATGGAATTCGCTGCCCAGAAAACTCTGGCAGTTAGTGATGAGTATTCAATTTGAATTGTTCGAGAGCATGCATTCATGTTGATAGCATTTGTCGAGAGGACACTGGTATTTGTTTCGAGAGGACACTGAGAGAAAGAATTTTGTGTCTTATGTATCAGAGCTAGTCATGACGTAGTTCTTGAGAGGACATGTTGGGATTTGTATGCAAGAACTGACTCTATTCTACTGCATGGGTTTTGTGCAGTATTGTGAAGGCGTGTCTCCAAGTCTGTAACCGTCAGGTGAAGACAGCTTGGGCGCCTGTGTTTTGGATCTAATGATCACTCTGTGTTGTATCTACCCAAACTGCGCCACCACTGCCAACTACACAACAAACAGCAACTACAATTCTGTTGTCAGTACCTTGGTGACGCACCTATCTCCAACACCAAAACGAACCTAGACTATGCATATAAAAAATATGTCATCAACACCAACTACCCTAGCACGTGACTTGAACTCAGCCACCCAACTCCAATTTGACTGTGATCACTTTACATAGAGATAACTGTTTTACGGAAAATATGAAAAAAGGGATAAGAAACACACAGCGCAGTCTCGGCCACAACAACATAGGAAACGTGTCAATAAAAAATATGATCGTGCGATACTCCAAGACAAAAGAAACAAGGGGTAGAAGCTAGGGGAGCGTGTCCGACGAAACGTCCCGCTGTTAAAGCTGCTGCCATGGTCCCACCCCCTACCTAGCTCATGCCATGTAATTTTTTGGTAGGGGAGAGAGTGGTTATTTTCTCGCGGCGCCCCCCGCGCCCCAGCGCCGCCGCGGAATGCGCTACCCACTGCTGCTGTCTGCTGTATGTACTGGCACAACCCCCAATGTTCGCCACACCGAGCTGTCTGTTTGATGTTGTATGAAGGCTTGGTGTGCATTTGTTTGCTTTGCCATCAGAAACAAGAACAGAAGACAAGAAGAGCATCAGCAGGATGCGACGGCCCAAGGAATAAGAAATCCGTTTCAAGAAATTGACCGACTTCGGCTGGTCCTTCTGCCCAGAACAAGACATTGAGGCTCGACCCGATTGAGACGTTTCTTATCTCCGGGTCCTATCTGTAGCAAAGGTAACGTTCGAGCCACACCGGTTTCTTCATGTCCCTCGCTCGCTCGCCGCCTATAAGAAATAGGTGTCTTTATGCATGCAAAACTAGAAAGCATTTGGAAGATCGGCACTACAAGTATGCATGTTTTCTCGGAAGCCCCTACTCTGAAATGTGCCGATCTTTTGTACTTTTTTTATCTCCACGACAGTGGCCGATCTTCCGATCTCGATATATCTCGAACATTTCTTCTGTAAATAGTACGGCTGCAACTAAACGACTGCGGTCGTGAACGCACAATCTACACTGTGGCGTCAAGCAGCACGTGCGCCGTCACGACGTGTTGAGAAGCACGTACGTGTGAACGAACCTGTGACAGGCGACAATAATAGTGGCTAAAAGCAAGCCAAATGCGTACGTCCTGAACCGGATATGATGCGGCGTAAAGTTCCAAGCAGAACACTGGTGCCGGTTCAGCGGTCCAAAGTGTCATGAAATTCAATAACCTCTCAACCTCTCTTCAGGGTATCGCCGCTAAACATCTTACGCGGGTATGAAACGCTACGTAGCCCGGGGAAAAGTCAACTCTTGCGCAACGAGAGCAGCGTCGAAAGCGCTTCTTGACAAGGGTATTTTTTGTGTGTGTCTCATTGAAAGTAGCAGTCATACGATTGTGTATTATTGAAGAAGTAATTGCATGGAACGTTTGAATTCACGAAGCACACAGCTTGTTGTCCTTTCTGGACTGTACTCTATACGTCTCAGAGTCATGAAGTGGGTTGTCCTGGAGGTGCTTCGCTTGATTGCCCACATGCAGCTTTAGCGCGAGATGGTTTCTTCCGCGTGCCTGGCGCTAGAAAACCGCCACCCCCTTGTACTTGGGTGGAGATGAAGACGCGTGGGGAAGTCTGCCCCGTCTTGGACAACCACATTAATTAACATTTTGTGCGCCCCGGTTGGACCCAGTGCCACATGTGGAAGCTTGCACAATTGTGCATCCACGCACCGCATCGTGTGTGTGTGCTTGTGTCTTTCTCCAGGGTGTGTACTACCGCAAGCGAGCGCGGGGTGTTTCCGCAAGACTTACAACCACGATTGATGTGCAGAACACCTTCATAAAGGTTGAGACTCCCCACCGTCTGTCGAGGACGAAACCCTGTTTCCCACAATGGCGTCGACGAAGAGTTGTTAGGTGTCTGCTTTTGGTTGCAAAAGACACGGGTTCGGAACCCGCTGCTCACCTAATTTTCTTCCGAAGTACGGAAAAATAAAAACGGTGGGTGGGCCAAGAAACGATGCATTGTCTATCGAACTCGAAACTTCTGGCAATGCATGGCGGAAGTGGTGCACCCGCACACACGCACAGAAGTTTGTTGGAAAAAAGGTGGTTCTACTCGCCGCCAGCCGATCGGGTTCCGGTTACCCCAAGAAGACTTGTCTTGCCTAGCAAACAAGAAGCCTCGAAAAAGGGGGGGGTAATGTGGAGAACACCTTCATAAAGGTTGAAACTCCCCAACCAACGTCTGTCGAGGACGAAACCCTTTTTTCCACATTGAAGGCTAAAAACATCCCCAACACCCGCTATTGGGAGCACGACCAGTTTACAGTAGCCCGGTTTACAGTAGCTATTACATAGCCGCAAAAATGGGGTGCAGGAGTGCCACAAACCTTTGGAACCGCTGTTCAGGGCATCTCCCTAAACAGGGAAGGAGTCGCTTAACCGGATCACGACTGTATCGGGTTTCTTGCGATTGTGACCATGACCAAGTTACGAGAAAGGGTCATGACTCGATCATGTTTCTTACCGTTGTTGCGGAAATAATCAAAGGTCCTGGCCGAGCCACGGGTCCGTGCCTGCTGCACGGGGTCATCCCACAGTTTCGACGAGGTCAGTATATACTGCTTTGCACGTTTCGTTTCAGTTTGGACTGGCGTGGCTTCCAACGAAAATCGCGACAGGAGCGACCAGTCATCACATTCTCTGTACCCACACGTTGAAGCAACAAACTCGCGTCCTGTTCTGTTCACTGTTTACGATGCCGTTTCGGCAGGAGCTACTCCTGCGGCCTGAGCCAGGGGACCGGCGGCGAGGTCAAGGCCTCTCGAACGAAGGCAGCATCACATTCAAGGCCGTGAGCAACCTAGTATTCCCGGACGCATTCTAGTTCAATATGAGTTTGTTCCGGCCCCTGAGGAGGGAATGTGTGAATGTCACATAGCGAAACCCTATCCGCAAATCCTTCCGTAGGTACCCCACCTCCACAAGGAATCCAGCCCCCTCCCTGCCTGCATAGTGTTCGCCTGTGTTGGAATCTGTGCGTCGTAACGTCTACACCGCTCTATTCCAGCCCGCAGTGGCAGTCCATTATGGCCTGGACGTTCTCCCTCAACCTCTTCAAGCTCCTGAAGCGGTCCGTGATGAGGAATCGCCGGAAGAGATTGGCTTGCCGCATTCTCTGCCCCTCCAGACATGCTCGTCAGGACATCATCCCAGAAAACCGTGATGGCGTGTCGAGGTGTACAGGTTGTTGTTTGACGGGTTTCAATTATTGCCCTGTGGCTTGGCGTGGTCATCCATCCCTGCCGAGACGAGCCCACCTCAACCACATGAACTTCATGAAGCGAGCGCCGGGGGGGTTGGGCGGCACATCACATCAACGAGGATTTCCTTCGCAAGCATCCTCCGGATGCTGCGCGTGGTGCATAGCAGTGCCGGAGAACAAAAGATGAATCGCAGGTAATTAAAGTGGCTTTTACGGTCAAATATACCCTCGATCAACATCGGCGAAAATGACACAGGTCAAAGCAACGAATACGGCACATAAGAGTATATACAAGGGCCGGAAACGAGTAATTGTAATTGCAGACACATGCTCTCCTCCTGCCGTCTCTCTCGTCGCTCACACCACCTGTTCGCCTCCTCGTTGACTCCTTCAAGGAACTTTTTCCTCTGGTACAACTCGAGTATCAGCTTCTTGTCCTTGTCGCTGAAATAGGAGAGAAAACGTACAGAGCATGGAAGGCAAAGGAGGCGGCTCTCCATATCATAACGGCAGACAGCAGAACAACCAGAGTGGTATTTGGTACTGAGCTTTTGACAAACCGACATGAACCTCATCCTAGACCCTCGTTCGCGCCAACTGCAACTGATGATGTTCTCAGAGCATCGACCCCGAAAATAAATCCACGGCACGTCATCCCACAGGACATTCCATGGAGCTCCAATGGACATTGCCACGTGGATTTCTGATGTGCAAAGGAGTTCATTGGAACTCCATTTCTGTCCTTGGCAACCCCTTGCTTGCATTCCATCAGTTTTTTCTTGCTGTCAGGCCTTCTTGAATGAGCCTAGTCGAATGACCTGAATAAATGTTACGTACATCGTCGAACCGACATCTTGAGCGAGCTGTTTTAGCGCCCTAATGATGATAAACAAGTACGATGTCCATGAGGTGTCAGCGTTCGTCAACAGGAGCAGGTTTCGAGGTGGTGAGTCGCTCGCTGTCTATGCGTCGTGCTGCGCTGCCTGTGTGGGGAAGCAGCACACCAGATCTGCTGGTGCATGTCTCCTTCGGACACCATCACTTCGCCAATGTGCTCGCCCATAGACGTCGCCATGACATAACCTCAGCGAAAAACCAAACAGTACAAGGAAGGATGGAACCCTGCAGTTGTTCAGGAAGCACTTGCAATGATGTATGGTTTTCTACAGCTAAAGGGGAACTGCCGATTGATTGCTAGGAAATATGGCCTCAATGAAAGAGTCGCTGAATTCGTTACGTGCAGCCTGCAGTAGTTTAGCCTGCACAAACAGAGGATGCCTGATGATGTAGGCAACAATTGTCTGGCGGCTGATGTGCTAATAAGCCAAAGGATCCGAATTGAACACTCACTTGAAGAAAGGTAAAAAAACTATTGAAATTTTTTCCATAGAACGCGCCCAACGTATGTATCAGACAACAAAGAATCGGCGGCCATGGATCGAGCGCGGCTGGCGCGCTGAAGTAAGACAAACAAAGGCGACCCGACCATCAGGAGGCAATAAAACGGAGAGACAGAACCATCAAAAGAGCAAGAAAGAAAAAAAAAAAAGCTGACCCGAAACAAAACAACACTGTGGCAATGACAATTGTTTACATGTTCCACATCATTGAAAAGCGAAGGGCGGGACTTCACAACGACAGAGCCGACCCAAAATTAAAAGAAAACTGTACCAATAACATCTGGTTGCATGTTCCACAACACGAACGTAGAAAAATGAAGTGGTAAGTTCTAGTAATATTTCAACGACAGATTTCTCAGTAGGCATTTTCTGCGGAAGTTGTCAGCGGGAGATGCCTTTCTTTGCGCATTCGCCCGAAGACGTAAGCTATAATAGTACAGAGGGCCGCGGCAGCTTTCAAGTAATGCCTTCGCCCTCTCCGGGGCAAGCCCCAATAAGCACATGACTGACTGGGGCGGGGCATTTTCAACGTGATGCAGCATCCTGTGTTTGTTCATGCCCTGAACCAACGTTGACACCAGAAAGAAAGATGAAAAAATTGCTGAAATATTAACACATGTATCCACGACAACGTGAATGCGGTCATCGATGGGCAAGTTTGCCGCTGAGGGTGGTCTCAAACTGTTCTGTGGTTGGTTGACACACTTACCAATACAACCCTGAAGACGTTGCTCCCATTCGTTCGGGTCCAGCCTACCCGGGTCATCCACCAATACTAGCGCCACCTCAGGTACGGAATGGAGAGAGGGAAACAGCTCGGGCAGGACGTTGTAGGGCTTGCAATCGTGTGCATTCTTGGATCCCAACCCGTTGTTTCGTTTATACGGTAGACATGTCTGTGTAGCTTGGGGGGGGACATCTTTGGCGTTCCGGCCGGTTGCCACCCGACTTCGAGCCACGTCTAGGCACGTCGTCCGCCACCGGACTTCTGTGGTTAGAGCTCGAAGAATCCCCGTGGGGGTCAGACGACCCACTCTAGTATTACGATAAGGCGCGGGCACACATATAGGACGTGACGGGTATTAGAGAGGGGGAACGGGAAAATGTTGACGTGGAACGAACATGCCGTGCTCATTGTGTTCAACATAAGTAGGCAGAAGAAATCGAGCGTCAGCTAAGAATTCGCCCGAGCACCTCAAACTGCACTACAAGGCTCCTTTGATCCAGTCGAAGGGCGAAAGCACAACGCGAAAGCATTGCAATTTCACGAACCTGCCTTTACCCTGCTGCCCGAAGTCACCGTCGTGCGGCGCCGGTGGCCATTGCTCGTGCTGCCGTTGCGACTGCAAGTGTTGAAAGCGCCGCCATCCGCCGAGCTTCAAACACTATCGTTCACGGGAACCACTGGAGGAAACGCTGCGGCGGCGGTTTTGGAATGAAGGGGGTTGTCAACTCGGAAGGCGGGTTCCCAATGAGGCCGCTTTTCTACAACACCCGAGTTCGTGGAAGCAGCAGCGTCTACAGACAGGTTCCGAGTGACAACTTCCCTCGTGACCTGGACGGTCTCGGCTAAGTCCCGAGCCTTCATCTTTGGTGCACGTTCCTCCTGTGTGGCGATGATGAAGAGCTCCCAAAGTATGAGCAGCAGCTCTGAAGGGTGCAGGAAGATCGAGAAACGCCATCGACACAGGGGACTAAGGGGTGTTGGGGATGAATTTCGGCATGGTGAGGATAATTTTCGCCGAGAACCGATTTGCTGAGAAAATTCTTAGCTCAAACTAGGCTAGTGCACAGGATGGGCTTGAGTTTGAAATCAATACGTTGCGCAAAAGGGATCAGATGTATTCACATTCATTTGAAGCACTGGTTTGACGACCAATTCACATTTGTGAGATCGGAAAAACGCTGATTACGGGCTACTTTTGGACCAATGCTAGGTTCATCGCAGAGGGAAACATCGCTCTGTGGGACACCACTACGCTCACAATGATGGGCCGAACGCCCTCCTCCAGCGCCAACTCCCTGAAACCCACGAAGTCCTCTCGGACGAAATTCGAACATCATGGCGCACGATTTTCCATGAGCGAGACATCCATAAACAAGCTGTGCGTTCGTCTCACAACCTGCAAAAATTCCAGGCATTTCGTGCGGGCAAAAGGCCGGTCCTTCAGGTGTTTGGGAGCATCGTGTAGCCAACACCTCCATACACAACCACGATAACCGACAACATAACTTGCCGCCACCTACCCCAGAATCCACCGATGCCCAGAACGGTGCCAATATCCAAGGGGTCGACCTCGGCGATGGCGGTACGTGAGTAAGACCCTTGCTTTATATCGAGATACAGCCTGCCGAAAGCGCTGTCATCGAAGTCATAATCCGTCGTTGTCGTCAAAGGCTGCGCGCAAGAGTGTCGAAAGAAACGAAACAAACGAGAAAAGGGGCAAGCGCGCGGCAGCAAACCGCCGGGTGGTAAGGGGACAAAGAGACAGCAAAGTCGAGGGGACA